CGTACCTCTGTTAGAGGCCAGAATGACCCGCATCCAGTAGAAAGGGTCGGCGGAGTCTGAAGACATGATCCCGAACAGAGGAATCTGGAAGGCAGCGGAGGGGGAGGGGTTGAGCGTTCTGCTCCGGCCCTCTGTCCCCACCGTCCCCCCAGACCCCAGGACAATCGGGCCCCGAGGTCACCTGGCAGCAGACTAAGAAGATGAAGAGGGTGATGGCGGTCCACAGCACTTTCTCCTTGAACTGGATCTGGAAGGTTCCAGAAGGAACGAGAAAGAGTCATTTTTTTTTTTTTAATGCCTGAGAGCACGGCTGCCTGCCTTTTCAACGGGGGGGGAAACTGAGTCTCTCGGAAGGGCGAGCTAAGGTCGTCCCAGATCCCACGGGGTAGAGCGAGTCTGAGTCCGTTAACCGTTCGCGGGGACCGTGTGGCTCACGCCTGTCGTCCCGGCACTCTGGGGAGGCCGGGGCGGGAGGCTCGCTCGTTCGAGGTCGGGAGTTGGAGGCCAGCCTGAGCAAAGAGCGAGACCCCGTCTCTACTAAAAAAAAATAGAACGGAGTTAATTGGCCAATTAAAAATATATAGAAAGACTGTAATCTTTCAGTTTTTCAGTACTCCGGAGGCTGAGGCGGGAGGCTCGCTCATTGGAGGTCAGGAGTTGGAGGCCAGCCTGAGTAAGTGCGAGACCCCGTCTCTACTAAAAAAAAAATAGAACGACGTTAATTGGCCAACTAAAAATATATAGAAAGACTGTAATCTTTCAGTCTTTCAGTACTCGGGAGGCCGGGGCGGGAGGCTCGCTCGTTCGAGGTCAGGAGTTGGAGGCCGGCCTGAGTAAGAGCGAGACCCCGTCTCTACTATAAATAGAAAGAAATGAGCTGGACAACTAGAAATACATAGAGGCCAGGCGTGGTGGCTCACGCCAGTAATCCTGGTAGTCTGGGAGGCCGAGGCGGGAGGATCGCTCAAGGTCAAGAGTTTGAGGCCAGCCTGAGCAAGAGCGAGACCCCGTCTCTACTAAAATATCGATGCAGTTAGCCGGGCGTGGTGGCTCACACCTGTAATCCTAGCACTCTGGGAGGCCGAGGCGGGAGGATCGCTCAAGGTCAAGAGTTTGAGGCCAGCCTGAGCAAGAGCGAGACCCCGTCTCTACTAAAAAAAAAAAAAAGAAACAAATGAATTGGCCAACTAAAAATATATGTATTGAAAAAGTGAGCCGGGCG